CCTTCAACAGAAGCTTCTGGAGAGTCCACCATGCTCCCAGCACTGCTGGGAGAGCTAAGTAACTTGCATGGGTCAGTCAGCGTGGGCCTGGTGCGGGACAGGTGTGTGGGTAACCCTCCCTGGAAGTGTGCTAAAAAGGTGTCCCAGCACACACCCAAGCCTTGAGGTCAGGATGTGTCCCCTCAATGGGTGTGAACGGTCCGTCACCCACTGCTGGAGAGCAGTGCGGCCAGCTTGGCTGGGAACCCTCTGAAAAGCACCGCCCTTGCCCCGGCCTCAGATAATTGGCCCAATACATCTTGGCTTTGGGAATTTACATACGGCGCCGAGTGATGGATGGCTGTGGTAACCCCGGCTGTCTCTCAGCCCAGCTCAGCTATCCATCTCAGCGGCTGCAGAGCCATCCGTCTTGTCTGTCTCCTTGCTCATGGCAGGCCAGCATGTGCCCTCCACCCCAGGTTGTCCCCCAGGCCCTCCCAGAGCCACCCTTCGGGCCCCTCTGCAGGCAACACTTGAGCCTGACCCACCACACCTAGAGCCGCGCCTTGCCCTGGACACACCCCAAACCCTGCACAGCCCTGAGTGACACTGACCTGAGGTGCAGGTGGACACTTGGCTGCCCCATAGTCCCATCCCACTTCTGCCGCAAGGAGCACCTCGCATTTATTCCCACCAGCATTCACCACAAGTGCTTCTAAACGTCTGTCGTCACCAGACATCGAACTAGAAACTGAGTAGGACCAAGTCCCCCGCCTTGAGAGATCAGCATTCCATTGGAGGTGGCTGTCACTCTGAAGACCCTGGACACCACCTGCTAGGCACCCAACCCACTCAAACTGCCATCCCCACTTCACAGATGCAGAAACGGAGGCTGAGTTGCTGGTCAGGTCACCTCCGCCAACCTTTACAAAGACAGCAATGCTTCGTTTGCATTCTCCTCTTGTCTTAATGGCCACCATCTGTTTATGCCACAGGATTTCACAGTGACACAGTTTTCTCTTCAAATACAGCTATTTAGGTCCAGGATGAGGTGTCATTATACAAAGGTCAAGAACAGGTGAACCTTAACTGTGATGCTGGGATCAAACACTGGTTACTGTTAGGAACACAGGGAACCTGAGCGTTCCCAGTGTTCCATCTTGAGCCGAGCAGCAGTCACATGGGTGTAAAAATTCATCAAACTTGAACTCAAAGTTACGCATATCTCAAAAAGAAGACACTAGGACTCAATTTGAAGATAAATATTAAAGTGGATAGTAATTCAGGTAGAAAACCATGGCAAAATGTATGCAGAGGGTTGTGCGTCCAAGTTTGGGAACCAGAGTCCTGTGGCCCCTGTGTTCCGAGGGTCCCTGCCAGACCCTGTGGGACCTCGGGCTGCCCATGCAGCCACAGAGCGCCTTCCTCCCGGCCCCTGCCTCTTCCTGCACACTTGGTCCTGGGTGTGGCCTGATTCCAGCTTCCTCCCTCTCTCTGCACATTGGCCTGAGCCTCAGCTGCATCTATCATCTGCTTCAAGCTCATTAAAATTATTTCTTTTTAGTTGCAAATGGGCTGTTTATGATGATCATTATTTGAATGGTCTGCGCCGGGCTCCGGGCTGTCTGTCTGCTGCTGATGGCCGGTTAATCAGATGAGTCTCCTCCCAGCCTGGGCCCGGCCCAAAGTCTGGGGCTGTGTTAATCACGGCTCCCCTTGGGCTGGGGGGCGGGGCAGCTGGGAGAGGATCAAGTGCTGCTAGGAGAGGCCCTGCTGGCTGGCCATGTGGCTGTCCGCTCTCATGTCTCTAAAACTCGACTTCAGACCAGGGCTGGTTTGTGTTTATAATAGAATTTTTTTTCTGTTTTCGTTTAAATAAATATAGTGCCATGAGCTTTTTTTATTTTAAGTGTGTTTATTTTAAAAGACTCTTGTCAATCCTGTCGCTGGCCCTCTTGCTTTGTTGATGTTCAGATATCTGTGTCTTCTTAGGGTGGACTGGAGACGCTCTGCGTGGCTTCTCTTGGTATAGTAAGACATGGCAACCTTCTGTCCGACTTCCATTTTTGTTTTGGGTTTTTTGTTTGCTTGGGGTTTTTTTTGTTGTTGTTGTAGCCGGGAGGGGCTCTGACCTGTAACGCCCAGAACTCTTGGAATCACTGATCTAGTGGGGTGTTTGGCGAGCTCTTGGCATCTCTAAGATTGCTATATGCCAGCATTTACTGGACACTTGCAACTGTGCGTGACACTTGCACATTTATATCACGTCGTTTAAAACAAGGTCCCTAGTGCCTCCAGCGAATGGAGAAGTGCAGCAGAAGAGCAAGGCTTCAAAATCTGCCTTGATGATCCTCCACGCAGGTCTTCCTCACCTCAGTTGTTAGAATTGGCTGTCACGTGTTTCCGAGCCCCCGCTTGAATTGGCTTTCAGGTATGTTAACATGTGTGTCACATGAAATGGCGTCTGTTCTCCTAGTGTGGTGCCTGGTACGTATAAGTGCTCAATAAGTAGTAGTTGTGATGATGATGATGATTATTTACCATGATTATTATTATTGGTGTTGGTTTTGTTCACCATGGGAATGTGGCGAGAATTCAGGATTGAAGGGTGAATATAGATTAGGCAAAGTTGAGGGAGAATATGTCCATCGTGAATCATTTACTCAAAGGCCAGGGCAGGGGTGCCAGTGTTCCTCTGCCTGGCTTGGGCATGGCAGACACCTGCCTATCAGAGCTGCATCCCCAGCAGCCCTGAAGGCACAAGCAGAAGGAGCCTGGCACGATGACTGGGTAGAGCGGATCTTGGACTTACCTGCCCTGAGATTTCCAGGTTTGACGTCTGTGATGAGGACTCTCAGTCCATCCCCGACCAGTTCTGCAGGCTGCTGGGATATGGAGAGGTGCAGTGTCCTCGAGATAAGAAGCTGGTTTTGGACCATGGGATTCCAAAACCAAGCGAGGTAACCCCAGGTCCAGTTGCTTCTCCAGAAGCAGTGTAAAAATAACATCTTTGTCTCTAAAAGAAATGAGAGAAACCCAAGGAAAACCTCTATGAATGCTCTGCTGCCACTCAAATTGGCCATGGTGTTCCAGTCCTTTCTTTCCTGCCAAGTGAGATTCCGTCCACCTGGCTGCACCAACTGTTGGATTTTGTCAACCTTGATCTCTTGTTACAAACATAGATCTCCCCAGTCACTTGATATTTTGGTTGTGGTCAGCTGTGTTTTCTTTATAGGAAAACTATGATTAGTTTTAAATGATGACAAGCCAGAAGTACCCCCCCCCCGCCTCCCCGCCGCCGCCCCATGACACCTTGTCTCACCTGGCTCAGAATTTCCCAAGGCTCTGGGCCAAAAGTCACCACCCACGTGTGCCCCGGGTTCCTGCAGGCCCTGGCTCAGCACCTTGGAGAGCGCTGGCCCCAGCCTCCGACCCAACAGCTGCTTTCTGCCCTGGCTTTCCTGTCTAGCCTCACGATTCCCATGGGGCTACACATTTCCCTGGAACAGAAATTCCTCCCTGGATTTTTTCAAAGGCTCTGTGGGCCAGAGACTGTTGCCCCAGGCTGGAATACCAGGTTGATGAAGCTCTGGTGAGCTGCCATGGAACAGATCCTCCAACTCTCAAACATGATATAAGACAATTACCATGCATTTCGTCTCTTAGAGGGAAAAGGATTTGCAGCGGGTTAATAGTACTTTTATTTCATTATCTAATGGTAAAAGTGTTTCATTGTGTGTGCAAGATGAATGTGTATTAGCGATGACAAATGGGGTCTTTCAGCGCTGTGCCGGGCCTCATCATACATATGTTAGATTAAAGAGTTCACCCTGGAAATACACTCCCGCATCTGCGTGTGTGTTTTTAATAAATCTGATTGCAGAAATTTATTGCACCACCGGATTTAGGAAATTATGGGGCTTGATTGCTGCAAATATAATCGGGTGATATATACAGAAATGCTTCTCGAGTTATGGTCCAGAAAAAAAGCCCATCTCAGGCTGGTGCCAGAAAGCAGCAGACCACATAAACAGAGCATTTCTTGAATTATGCAAATGAAATCCATGACAACTCCTGGTGAATTGTGCTCCCCCATGAAACTGCCACCGTTACAGTGAAGAAAGCTTTGAGAAGGCGATCAAATATACATGTACAGCCGCAGACATCGTCTGTGATGAGCACGAGCTGCGGCATCTTCCCTACCCTCCCTCCCTCTTGTCCCTCGCTGGTACGTCCAATAAAACCCTGTCTGGCACCTTCGTGGCCCACAGCAGGCAAGGCACCCCCATCCCTCTCTGCTGAATCCAAGAGCCTTGGATGAATTATGTCTTATACTCGTGGTGAACCTTAAATGATTTACTGGAGGGTACACAAAAGGTCAGCGTGCTTCTTATTGGCGCCTTCATTTTTTTCCAAAATCTACTGAAATTAAAAAGCCATCTATATCTTAAGAGGCGTATTTATGAACCTTTAAGTATAAGTAAGTCATAGTTGGAACCGTTCCCACCTCTGATATATGAAAGCTGTCGACGGCACTCTCACACACTATAATGTGCCCATACAATATGCCGCACTTTACTATTTTGACACGGTTTGGAGATGTTTTCTACAGTTACTGGCAAGCTTATGCCATTGCTCCTTTGGAAATATAAGAGGTGGGGCCGGAGGGTGGGAAGAGATGGGGGAACAGCTCCATCCAACTTGACAGGAGATTATTGATCTGGCCCAATTTACAATGAGAAAAAGAAAGTGGTCCTGGGTTCTATGCATGATGTTATATATGTGTGTGTATATATATATATATATATATATATATGATTTTTTTGGTTGCATACCAGTTTTGTAAATTATTCATTTGTGCCAGGAGTCAACATCTTGTCTTTACTTCAGTTTTGTAAGTTACAAAAACTTGTTCGGGAATGCTGTTTTGTACAATGATTAAAAAGAGAAAAGGGGGGCATCCTATTCTTTCTCTCTTTTTTTTAATTTTTATTTTATTTTTTATTTTTTTATTGTTCCAGAAGGAGCTTAATTCCGTCGCTTCCGAGCTGTCTGCGCGGCAGGAAGAGAGTGAACATTCTCATAAACATTTAATTGAACTCCGCCGGGAATTTAAGAAAAATGTACCTGAGGTACAGTATATTCGCTGTTATAGAATTAACTCAGTGGGAATGCAGATTTTTCTCTGTTCAAACTGTATTTTGAAAACTGTAGACATAAGTGACTAACAAGAAAAGAAGCTAATTAGCCACCAAGAAAAATTACAGCCCCCAGCCTTTCCATGATTCTGGATACCATGGTGCTCAGCAGCGCTGTCTAAAGTCAGGGCCAACTGTGTCTCCCTTGAAGCTGTCACTTTCCAGGACTGCAGGAAACATCCTCCACCTCCATACCCATGTCAAGGGCTCGACCTTGGCAGCAAAGACAGTTTGGGCCGAGTTCTTGGATTTATTTTGCTTTTCTGTTGGTGTTGGGGAGACGGCAGCTCTGGACCCCCCTGCCATCTCTGGAGCTCTGCCTCCACCACCTATATATGCACCCGTCCTTCCCCACCTGCTCCCTGCAGTGACAGCCACCAGGATTCTTTAGCTCAGCTGCCATGGGGTGACCCTGAGAAAGAGTGGTCCCCAGCAATGGAAGCCACATCCCTCCACCAAGGAACGGACTAGCATAGACATGAGTCTGTTCTTTGCAAGGGTGAATGTGAGAATTCTCGTCCTCCCTCTGTCAGGCCCCCCTGTTGCTTCTCAAATTAAACAAAAAAAAAAAAAAATGATGGGAACAAACACAAATAGGAAAAATAAGGCCCCTGACTCTAACACTGGCAGGCATGTGGCACATCAGAGCTTTTACAGAAGCAGTCACCAGGCCAGACCCAACCGAGGGCCAACGGTATCCCCCTCTGGTCAGCAGAAGCTTAACATTCGAGCACTCTTACCTGCCCACGAGTGCTGGGTCCAGGCTAGGCCAGGGTGTGGCATCATCTAGGATACCTGAACCCCCAGGGACTCCTGTTGCTGTCCTGCTGATGGAGGTGGGGCCCAGCCAGAGGAGGCCACATGGGCAGTGGGCGGAGCCTGCATTCCGTCTGGCCTCTTGGCTATAGAATCATCTTACTCAGGTCCTCAGTGTTGTTGGTTCTTCAAGGCAAGAGAGGGGTCTGGGATTTAGATAGAACTTGTCCATGAGCAAGTTTAGCAGAGATCTCAGGTTGGAGGCCTGAGAGAGGCTGGACAAGAAGACACAGGTCTTGGTTCTAAGAGTGTCCCCAAGCCACGGCCTCAGAAAGGCCAAGTCAGGCCTTTGGCTTGACTCTGGGAACTGAGAAGCCCGAGGGATGCCAAGGTGCCCTCCTTTCCCTTTTGAACGACACATTTTGGTCTTTAAAATGATCTTCTCCCCAGATTGAGAATGATCCAACTCTGCTGTCTCTGAGAAGGAGAGCTGAATCAACCCCAGACCTTCACTTTTTCTTGTGCACATGCTGTCTCTCCCTCTCCCTCTTGTCCACTCAGACCCTCTGCCTTGTCCTCTTCTCCCCATTGCAGGGTACTTCCCTTCCTCACCACTCCCCTGTCCTGCTGTCCGTGTGGGCACCCCCAGGTGATGAGAGAAATCCAGGCCAGGTTTTAAGCCTCTGAGTTTGACTTACATAATTTTAATACTGCATAATTATGCAATTATGTAATTAGGAATAAGTTTCCACTCCTATTATAGTCACGGCTCTGAAAATTCTCATTTTTGGAACTCCTCTCTCCTGATGGAAGAGTCGTGCCAAGGCTTATTTAAGAGCATCATCTGGCTGGTGCCAGCTCACCTGCTGCTCGTGCCTCTGCCTGGCTCCCCCCGTTAAGCAGACTAGGCAGGGGGCTTCCAGAAAGCGTCGGCCTTGGCCCGAAGCCCCCTCAGATTCTGCTTCCGACAGCTCGGCTGTGACTCCCCTGCCCTGAATTGAGTGGGTGGTGAGAAGAGCCTGTGGGGACCTGCCTTCCGTTTCCTGCCGTGCCATCCACTTGTTATGTAACCTTGAGAGGCCAACCCCTCTTGGGCCTCTGTGTCCCCTTCTGTGGATCCCGGGGCCAGGACTATGGCTTTAGAGTCCCCTTGTGCTGCTAACAGTCCTGAAGCGGCCCAGGAGTCTCCTGCCCGCTTGTGTTTTATTTGGTCTATGAAGTCTTTCAAAGTTTACGAGAAGTTGCCGATGTTTAGCATCTCAGATTTCACCTACAAATTGGCCTCCCAGTGTCTTTTAGACTGTTTGGTGGATCTTGCAGCCCGGAGGCTATATGTGTCCCAGCTGGGAGCCAGAGCCGAGGTTCTACACCCTGTTAGATAGTGCCATGTGCTCCTGCCACTTCCTGCCTGGCCTCGGTGGCCTTTGGGTTCCTGACCATGACCTTCTGTCACTTAACTGTGTGTCTGAGGCTCCCTGTGATCATATCCCCTGGGCTCATGGGCGCTGCTCATGTCCAACTAACATCAATGGATCAGCAGCTTAGAGAAGCCCGGGGACAACAATCAGAGGAGGAGCACCAGGACCCCTGAGAGGCCCCTTGTCTGGGACGGAAGCAACACAACCCATTTCTCAATGAAGAGTTGTCTCTTTACCTGACCACGGGTGTTCTGCCCTCTCCTCCTCTCCTCCTCTCTTGCCTCTGTCACCCCCTCCAGCTCCCTCAGCTCCTCCTCCCACCAGACCTTCCTGTAGCTGTGACGGGGGTGCAGGATCCCCTGTGGACCTCAGAGGAAACCGGAGGCTTCAGGGCTGGAATTTAGAGGTGCCAAAAGCTTCCTTCTTGTACTCTGGGGAGAAGAACCACAGGAGTCCTCCAGGGGAGCCTTTGGTGCTGGGAAACTCAACGTCACTTAAAAAGTCAAGAAATTCAGATCAGGGAATAGGAGGCACCTGGTGGCCAGAGGGCCCCCACCACCACCCTGCCAAGACAGGTCACTTCCAGAGTGTCCACCGACATTCCCATAGCCCTGCCTCTAAGTTGGGAACTGCAGGGACTCTGGGAACCCAACTGAGGTCCCAGAAACTGCACATTCCCATGAGGAAGGAGTGGCCGGGAAGGGACATTCCAAGAGGCAGAGTGCAGTCTTCGTGGGTTGGGGAGCCTGGGGAATGGCAACCTGAAGAGGCAGCCTCTGAGGGGTTCCTCGAAGGATGAGGGTTTTTGAAGGGACTAGATGACTGGGCCCAAGTGGAGAAGCGGTGCCACCTCCAGCCCCCACTGCAGAGTGTCCTGTGGTAACCTGCCAATTATGCAGATAAGATAGTCTGCACAAAGACCATGTCGTGATCAGATGCCTATGGAAATGCCACTTCTCTCCCCCTCATCTAGAAATTCCCAATGTGCCTTATATTAAAGGCTCTGAAAAGACCTGCAGAATAAGAACCTCTGGGAACACCAACCCTGGCAACAGGGCCAGCCTGCCCACCGGTACGATGGTGAACTCTTCATTGCTCTCTTTCAGGAAATCAGAGAGATGGTGGCTCCTGTATTGAAAAGCTTCCAAGCCGAGGTAAGACCTAAGGCCAAGGCTGACAGAGAAGTACACCCGTTCCCCTCCTGCCCTTGCTAGAGCTGCCCAAGAAGCCAGCAGCCTCTGCAGGTTCTGGAGAGTTGTCTTTTTACCTGACCACCGGTGTTCTGCCCCACCCCCAACAGTGTCCCATCCCAAGGGATGTGAGGAGCATGGGATCTGCTCTAGTTCCTGGAGTTCCAGGCCTCCATCTTTCTGGACTGCCCAGCTTCCCTGGTTCTGCCATATATGAAATCTGTGATCTTGAGCAAATCCTTCGCCTTCCAGGTGTGGTTTCCCACTTTTAAATCGGGTCTGTCCTGGGAGACCTGTGCGCCCTGGGGCACTCTACTGTGCTTCTGTTCCCCGAGGCAGCCTTGCAGAGAAGTGTAGTCAGTCGCCAGCCTGCTCAGAAAGTCTTTCTGCCGGCCACTCTTGGAGGATGGAGTCCGCCGTGCTCACATTCTTTCCTGCCAACCCATCAGGCCGAGTTCTTGGACAGCAACTGAGCTGTCCTCAGCCGATCATTCCTCTTGACTTCCTGAACCCTAACCCATGAGCTTGAACCTCCTCATTTCTCCTTGTTTCTTAACCTCGTAGCCAGGGAGCCACAGGGGCATCCCATCTCCACGGGGCTCCTCTCAGACTTCCTGGCGGGGCCAGGGTTGACTTTCTCTGAGTTTGCCTGAGGGGTGCATGTTAATTCTGTCGTCCACCAGGTGCCACCTGCAGCACCACGTAAGCACCCAAGGCCACGTGAAAGTAAGCGGTGGCTGGATTTAGTCAGGTGTCACTGGTTCGCATGTTCTCAGCTCTTGGTTTCATTACCAGGCGGGCTGATGTGCTTATTTATTTATAGGGTCATCCAGTATTGATTCATTTGGTTGTAAGGTGCCTGGGCAGGAGGGAAAGAAGACAAAAACGAAAAGAAGAAATGATGTCAGGGGTGTGCTTCCTGACTTTGTGTTTTTCAAAAGACAGAGGTTCCTAGCTACCAACTCCTGGTCCCAGAAGGAGACTCAGCAGGGAGGGAGCCGATCCTGCCACCAGCCCAAAGACAGGTATTGAGCTGTCTTGAAGCCACTGTCACATTCTCAGCAGTTCCCTTTTTTGAGCCTCAGGTGCCCTATCTGTAAGATGGGAATAGCCTCTATAGATCTTAGGGATGGACTGAGCTATAATGAACAGAAAGGGGTTAATATCACATCTGTCACTGGAAAGTTTTGAGAGAGTGAAGAACAGCCCAGGTTTGAATCCCACCTCTGCCACTTACTAGCTGTGTGAACTTAGGTGAGTTGTTTAACCTCTCTGTGCCTCCATTTCCTCATTTGTAGAATGGGTAAGGATTTACTTGTTTCATAGTGTTGTGATTGAGGAAGAACAAAGTTAATACCAAAATAGTGCCATAGAATGCTGCCTTGGAGGTTAAAATCTGGGGCAGTTATCACTGACCTCCAAGCCAGGTTGATTGGGCCCCTGCTATAATTGGGTTGGTGCCGCCTCTTCCTTTACTAGCCGTTCAAGGCTTTTTACCCAAAAGAAGATGACTTTCTGTCCTCATAGGATGCAAGCATAACTTAGGTCACCTTTTAAATAGTAGAAAGAGTTGGACAGGAAGACAGGCCATGTTCAGAAGACCCACAAGCAGACCGTGAAGCACAGGTGCCAATCAGCCTCAGACAGGCCTGTTTTGACTCTCAGCCTTGCTCCTTAAACTAGCTGTGTGGCCTCAGGGATGTTCCATAACCTCTCTGAACTTCAGCTTTCCTCCTCTGGCAAATGTGGCGGCTGATAAGGATTCAAAGAACTGAGCAGCTCCCAGGCAGCCAGCAGAGAGTACAGTACACAAGTGGTGCTCAATAAATACTGGTGTGGGAAAGTCCCAGTGGAGCTGAAGGGGAAGACAAAGCAGACGCTTGTTTCCAAAACCCACGTGGCCTGTCGCGCAGACACTGTTTTAATAGCTGGGCATCTTCAAAGAACTCTGTTAATTTCCTTAAGAGGGCTTTCCATCGTCCCTTTAATGTACCAAAAAGACTACATTTGTCTGGAATTTTATTCCCGATACTCCGGCTCTCCTCATGATGTATTGACTAAGCCATTGCGCCTGCCCCATGCCCAGGGGAGGAAAGGCCACCGGAGAAAGAAAGGTGTTAATAACCAGCCTCTTCCCGGCTCAGAGCAGGCTGCGCAGGCCTGGCTGTTTATAATCCAAGTATGATGTTCATGTTAACATTTTTAATGAGGCCCAGCTAGGTGCTTCTCCCTCGCCCTGCACCCCCTGCACCCGGGGCCTGGGTGGGAGCTGTGGGTTCCCACATGGGCATTAGTCACCTCCCGGTAGTATGCCCTGGGGCAAGCACTGTCTGGAGTCCCATAAACCAGCCCACAAAAGCCACCATGGCCCATCATCCCACCTCCATCCCTGACACAACCTCTGGTTTAAGGGCACTAGGGTCAAGTTCATCTCTGAACTTCAAGCCACAGCCCTGGCATATGCAGGATCTAGGCACCTTTCGTCTCACATGCTTGTAGTGTGTGGGTCTCTCCCTCCCTCCCTCTCCCCTCTCCCCCTCTCTCCCTCTCCTGGTCTCTCTCTCTCTCTCTCTCCCCCCCCCTCTTTGCCAGGGGAGGGGGTGGAGAGGAAGTGAATTACCCTGCTGTGAATCAGGGAAGGTCTTTCTGCCTTGATTGCTTAAAGGACAATTGTGATTTCCCCTGCTCAGGGAAACAAAGACAGCCAGAGAAGGTGGCTTAATGGAGACAGCTTGAAATGGCCAAAGTTTGAATATCCTTGCGCACAGAGAAAAGAGCAAGACGAAAGCCCCGCTAATTACAAAAGTTGCTTTATGAAAGATAATTCAAAGCAATAATTTAGCAAACATAATCAAGTCGCACAGATGGGGCTGTTGATGGATGGATTGCAACATGCAATTAGCAGTTCTCGCAGTTACATATCATTAACCCTCCGAGCACAAAAATTATTTTCTCATTATTAGTTGAAAAGGTAAAATTAAGCTGACTAGACAGTAAAGGAACAAACTACAATTAATTACCTTCATTTATTACAGTCATTATTTTAAACTTATTTTTACTTGGAGAGAGAGATGAAAACATCTAAATTAAAAGTTTTGTTATGCTAAATCTGAGGTGAGACTTCCATGGAGCATGTAAACCGGCCCTGTCTGGGGAGACCCTAGGTCTCTGCCAGGAAATTTTTCTCTGCCGCCTCCTTGATGGAAAACACGTTGGTTGGACTGGAACAGAGATGTTCACCTGTGCCTGAAGGAAACACAGCATCTAGGCTGACCTGGCCTCTGACCCCTGGGCAGGTGGGATAGTAGGAGTGAGCCTGCTGTCTGAGTCCCACCCAGTGATGATCTGGTGTGACCTTGGCAGGTTGCTTTGTGTCTCTGAGCCATTGTTTTTTCACCTGTAAGTAGGGGCAGCTGCTAGGGTTGCCTGAGAGTCAGAGATGAGTAGCCATGAGCTTTCCAAACCTGGTTTGCCTGGTTGGCCAGGGCTGAGAGTGTCCTCCCAGGCCCCCCTGAGCCTGAGAGAGCTCACGTCTGGGATTATAGGGGATGGAGCAAGAGCGCTCCCCAGGAGGGGCCAAGGCCACCAGCATCCTGCAGTCATTACCACTTGATGAGCATTTCCTGGGAGGCAGCATTCTGTGACACAGCCTGATGGTCCCTGGGCTCCGTTGACGTGGTGGACAGCAGGAGGGTCGGCAATACCCCAGGACTTCCCAGAGAAGATGGGCCCTTCTCCTGGGCCCGCTGCCAGGTGTTTCACGTGTGCAGCACCACCGAGAGGCCTGTGCAGCCTCCACAGACAGCAAGACCTGCCCCTGCCCTCAGGGGCCATCTCTGGGGCTGAGTCCCTGTGGCTGAGCCTGTGTCCAGCAGTCTTGTCGCTGAACTCACCTTCTCACTTCAGCCCCACGGTGGGTGCAGTGGTGTCCCCATCCTGTGCACGTCTGGGTGTTTGCTTGAACTCCCCATCGAGGCCTCGAGTCAGGGCCTTAGTCCTCTGGCCTGGGCCTCCTCTGACCAGTGGCGTATGGCAGACGTGCTGCGTGCCGGGCTGAGACAGCGCCCAGCCCACGACCTGAGGAGGAGAAAGGCCAGGAGCCACACAGAACGCCCTGCCTGTGGAACTGTCACCACCTGGCTACCCGAGGACAACCGCGGAGCTGAGCCCCATCTGCAGAACTGTGAGAAACCATAACTGGTTGTTTGGAGAGGCTCCATTGGGGGTGCTGGTCACCCCATAGATCAGCAGGCCCTGATCTGCAGCGGGCAGCCTCCCCCTCCTCCTCCCCCGGCCCTCCCTCCACCTTTTGGCAGGTTTTAGCCTTGCTGGGATGCTCTCCAAAGCCAGGCCTTAGTCCTCGTCCTTGTGATGGACTACAGGCTTCTCAGAGAGTCAGTGACAGTGCCACCAGGGAGCCATCACTACCAAGGCTCCCCTCAGGCCTGGCCTTGACCCCGGGACCCGGGTGAGGAGCACCAAGGTTCTGTGGCTCCCGGGCCCCCCCCCATGTCTTATGGGATGGGTGGTCCGAGCCCCCTGGAGGCTAAAGGGCGAGGAGGGCAGAGGCCCCACTGACCCAGGGGCAGGGGCAGCATCAGGACAGAGAGGAGCGAGAGGTGGCGTCTCCCATCTCCTGGGTGGGTTGGTGAGCACAAGGCACAGTGGCCAGCTGATGGCTCCAGCCTGGGTGGAAGTGTGTGATGAGCAAGTGGCTCGGTCCTCAGCAGACGTCCTGACCCTGGTGGAGTCTGCTCCTGTGCCGGCTGAAGCGGCCGTGGCTGGTCTGTGGCTCCCACCCTCTGCTCTGCCGGGGAAGAGCTGTGTGGGCTTGAGCAGGTGGCTGTCCCTCTCAGCCTTTTTCATGACCATGACGGGGATGACACTGTCGTGTCCCCTCCTCTGTTGAAGAGAAAAGTGCTCAACAGATGTCACCAGCTGGTGTCCCCACCTGAGTTACCAGT